ACTTTAATGTGACTGCAAATAAACAAGTTCTATTTACTTGGCATATAATGTTCTATTGCAGGAGCACAGCACAACCTTGTGGGTCAAATAAAACAGTACACACAACTAACACATAACAGTGTTGTGGAGCAAGTGACAGGAATCATGTGACTAAGAATAGAGCAGCAGTCAGAGTGTAATTACATTAAATGATTGATAATTATAATTATACTATATTATATATATAAGTCCTTAGTAACTTACAGAATTCTTCTGGACGGCGTGTTCTTGTGTCCACTTCCTGGCCTTCTCCATAAACAGGTGTTTGTTGTATTTGAATTCCGATGACTAAATTACGGGAAAAATAGATAAATAAAAGTACATATAAAGTTTCATTGTGCTACAGCTGAACACAGCTGCTCTCTAACCCAACAGGTTTGAGGTTAAAGGGTTTTTGACTTGCATCCAAAGTCATTTTGGGATTTACCAAACTCCCAGACTTGCCTTTAATTACTTAGGACAGCGGTCTCCAACCTTATTTGCGCCACGGACCGGTTTATACCCGACAATATTTTAACGGACCGGCCTTTAAGGTGTCGCTGATAAATACAACAAAATAAAACTAGTACCGGTACCGAAAAAAAAGAAGATTTATTCATAAAACACGTGAAAAGACCCAGGAAAACAGAGTTAACGATAAAAACAATAACAAAATAACGCTGAAAACCGATAAAAACCCTGAAAACCAGACATTTCACACCTGAGCCTCAACTCTCGCGGCCCGGTACCAAAAGACTCACGGACCGGTACCGGTCCAAGACCCGGGGGTTGGGGACCGCTGACTTAGGATACCTTTTATTTCCAGGGATGAAGTTGAATCAATTAAAAACTGAACTATGTATTTTAGTCAAGACAATGTCTTTAAAACTGTTTTTGTTGTTTGTTTTTTTAAATAAAGAGCTACTGTTACATGACAATATAGGTAACTCACAGTTTTCTAAAAATGAAATAAACCACCACAGACAGATTGTGTATGATAGATAGTTTGATATACAGGATGGACAACAAACTATGTGTGACTCACTATATCAGCCATCAGTGGGTCGTCTGGATTTGGCTCTGCCATGAGTAGCTGTATGGAAGTGAGGACTGTGGAGATGTTTAGAGATGGCTTCCAGGCACCCTGAAAAAAAAATCAAATAAATATAAAGACAACACTACATGTAAAATGTATAAAATTGTGTCCACCATGTAATGGTGTTGAAATAAAGAGTTTATTATGTACTGGAAATCTCTTATAACCTTTGGTGGCAGTTTAAGAGCATCATGGCAGATCCGTCCTGAATTGTCAATGTTTGGATGGTAGATTGGAGTCAAGAATCGGATTTTGGGAGGCTCAAACGGGTACCTAAGAGGAAAAAAAAGCATGTCAGTCCTGCTAGAGTGGAGTGAGAACATGTAACTAGTAGAGAGAAACTCATCAATGTTAAAGCTCAAAGAAGAAGTACCTCTCTGGAATCTTGACCTCCAAGGAGAAGATTCCACCATCATAAGCAGTTCCTGATCCACCCAATATCTCTGGAAAATAACAGGGGTTAAACATATGGTCATGTATTTGATACATTTTAATGACAGGATCCACTGCAAAAATGGATGTCAGAGTGATCGTAATCAGGTGAAATATTCTGAGTATATAGTATAGGTAAATTTGTTAGGTACACCTGTTCAACTGTCTGATAATCAGCTAATCACGAGGCATCAACTCAGTGCATTATGGCATATAGACATGATCATTGCAACCTGCTGAAGTTCAAACTGAGCATCAGAATCGGAAGGAAAGCCGATTTAAGTGACTTTGCTAGTAACGTGATTTTGTTAGTGCCAGATATGGTGGTCAGACTCTTTCAGGACCTGCTGATCTAATGAGATTTTCCACATAACCATCTCTAGAATTCACAGAGAAATGTCCAAAATGAAAAATATTCAGAGAGCAGGAGATCTCTGGGTCAAAATGCCCCACTGATTTCAGAGGTCAGAGGAAAATGGCTACGCTGGTTTGAGCTGATAGGAAGGAAACAATCCAAAAGAGCCTCGATGAACGCATCAAATTTAGAAGCAGACGGGCCACAGGAGCAGAGACCACACCGGGCACCGCCGCTGTTAAAAATTACGATAGTTCTGAAGGCAACACAGAGGTCCAACCTAGCAACGCACATAAGAAAGTGTCTGGCAAGTATAGCTTTAGTCGTTTAAGTGACACAGTAGTACATACGTGCCCGGAGGTCGTCTATCTGATCTTCGGTCTGCCAGCATGTTATCCCAGGGGGGGGCTCGGTGCTTAGCATTTGAAGTTCACGTTTCAAACGAGAAGCCCTCTGCATTCTGAAAAACAGGCAGCTGGCTAATTAGCGTTACACTTAAAGTTCGTGGGTCAGTCTCCACACACGCTTGTAATTATTTAATCATAAACGTAGAACATTTATTGTCAAATTGCTCAATGAGACAGTGGTTTGTTTGTGATGTTAGCTGCCTTCTTGTGACGCTGAGCTAACGCCTTTGCTTACTAATGTGAAGGCCGAGAAATAAACACCTTCTTAGACCAAAAAGTCTAATAACAATTTGTCAGGTGGAGAGCAGATCTCGTTTACTTACTTTTTATCAGCTGTCCACTTGATAATCACTGTCTGTCTAAATCGAAATGCCAGTTTCACAGCTCTCGGCGAAGCAGCGTCATCGACTCTGTTTTGGATTTCCCTCTCCTTACGTAAGCACCGCCCGCGCGCCGTTCTTCTTCTTCTTCTGTTGGATTTATTCAGATGAATTACCGCCACCGTGTGGTCCCGAGTGTGAGCTACCAGGAGGCTACTTCTGCGCACAAATAACACAGCATCATTTTATTTTTAATTCAACAGTGTTACAGTGATCATCCTGCAACCCAGTAGCCTCTCCGCTTGCCCCTCGAAACACTGGGCAACTAACCCTTTATGTGTATGTGTGAAATGTGATTGTTAGAGGATACTAAAATCACTTTTCATTTATAGCCTTACAAAAAGGAACAAGAAGCATCTCCTGGTGACTCTCTGGTCTCTAGTCAGTATTTACTTATAAGGTAATATTTGTGTATTTTCAATGTGTGAATTTAGTTTTCTTTGTTCTTTTTAAATGTCATTTAAGAGGTTTCAAATAAGGGTGGCATGACAAATGTATACTTTGGTTATACAAATATTGTCTAGGAGTAGGTAATGGATAATAGGTTTAAAAGGTTTAAAAGACTTGAGCATATGATCTAATATTGCACTACAATTGACACTACTGTATATCTAACTAACAAAGCAGTTCATCATCTTTTTCTCGACAACACTTATTTTAAGGATATAGGCATTTTGGGTAAACTTGAATGAAAAGAAGACACATGTGAAATATAAAAGTGAGATCAGAGGTCAAATATGAAATTGTATTTGGAAGCAAACTATAATGTGATACTGACCCCATATAACAGTATCATTTCCTAAATGTTGCCAGTACAAAAATGCAGTAGACTTTATTTTTTTTATTAAAGTTTGACCTTATTTAACCTCGAAGAAGAAGACCGAGGTCCAAAGTAATGTGATATTTATAATCCCCATGTATAATTAAATGCCTGTATGTCTATATGACAGTAAGAAACATAATAATAATAATAATAATAATAAGTAACTTGATATCACATTATCACTTGGACCTTCAGATCTGTTGACCCTGAAGGAAAGGACACAGGTCAGTTATGATATGATATTTTAAAATCTTTAAAGTTAAGATGCTTTTTGTGGACTTTACATCCATCAATCATTAAGTTGATGGATGTAAAGTAATTATTAATGGATTGTTAACACGACAAAAAGCTTTTGAGCTATCGTGTTTAAGGACAAAATGACACACACCCCAACGCCACCAAATGTATCACTTTCTTGGTGGAGACGACACCATGATCTTTGTTTTATTTTGACAGCAGAAGCACTATAACACTTTGGTATCATCTTGTTTTATTCTTTCTAATTCTTTTATTCCTGTTTTCCATTTATTGTA